CAAGTAAGTTTGCGCAGGAGCTACGGTGGGGCAGGCTCGTTTCTTGCCTGAGCAGTGGAAGTGGCTAAGGCTTCGGCCGGCTGAGGGGGGAGAGGGAGAGGGAGAGGGAGAGGGCGAGGGCGAACGGAGAGAAACGGAGCTGTGTTGGCAATGCGAGTGATAGCACTGTATTGCACGTACGTATAGTATTGTACGATGGTAAGGAAGGTGTGGTATCGCGTATGGTAAGGTACTGCCAAGCGGAGCAAAGAGGGGCACTTTGATAGCTCGAAAATTGGCGCCCCTCTGGCTGCATCACACATCCCCACCGTGCGTTCTCAAGCCCTTCCCACCTATCGCTTATTTCTCGGACCGGTCTTGGTTTGCTGTCAGTGGAGAGCAACAAATCTCTCGCCTCGCGGTGAGGGTTTTCTCGGTGAGGGTTGAATACTTATCCAGTGATGACGGTCGTGGCCTCTGGCTTAGGTTATCTGATCGGGATCTTGTCTTATCTGATCCGTGGCCCTGGTATCAGATTTTTCACAGTGTCACCGGTGGGGAGCCTGGGAGACCACCAATTCCAAACAATGCTGAGGCGTCTGACACAGACTACACTACAGACCTCAGTGACTTTTAGTGTTCCACTAGTACGTGGCCTGGCTGCAACGTAAATTGGTCGGGTCGTGATAAATCATTATCTAACTCCCCACCCCGAGAAAACTCTGTAGTCTCCCGATCACTAAATCACAACTCGGTGGGATGACTTGGGAACTGATGAGGATCCAGCATTCATTGAGATGCTTTGCTTGGGAAATGGGATTTGATAAGATGCTTCTCATACTTAGGTATGACAATCTCAGCTACGTTTCTGGAGTTTGGCCTTCGATAACCGAGTAAAGTTCTTCGTAATTTGTGAAAGTAGCGGGCCACGACCAGTCCGATGCACTCAGCATTGAACATGGTGATATTGAACCACTCCTACTATTGCCATTCGGTGTCATCTTGGTCTTGCCACGGTCGCACCAGGCCACACCCGCTACAGCTCGTAGGTGTGATGTCTGCCAGTGGTTTGGTGGTTCCTTGACGTACTCCATGGTTGCCCATAGTCGTGCACTGATGAGCTCCTTCTTCCACTGCAATTGGCGGGACCTCTGCGCAAACGAGATTGCCCTACCGGGGGTTATCCACTCCCCTGCTAGTTCGCCCGACGGCCGAATTGCCGCGACTGGCGATGGGAGTCCAGTGTGAACCCACGCACACACTCGACTCTGTTCGCATCTGGGAGGTAGCCCGACGGCAAGAGGTTTGAGCGGGTACTATGCGTAGGATTACACCTGTGAGAGGTGGGATGACCCCGTGAAGAACGGGTGTGGCTGCATGGTGTGGGCGAATTGCACGTTGTCGTGCCACATGTGGGTAGATTGAGATATTTGTGATGTGTGAGTACTCCAATCGATGCTGGATATGGCGATGGAGGCAAGCTACGAGTCAAGGACGGTGGCAATGGTCGTGATGGTGGTGATGTACTGTTGATGGCGGACATCGCCTTCCGTCAACCTGGTCTCTGAGAGGGGCTCGAGCTCAGTGGCAATCAAACCGCCCAGTGCTGCTGTCGCCTCAGGGGCACACGCACGTCGGACTAGTCGGTGATTATGCTGGAACCGGCAGGGACTAGAACTACTAGTGTCATCATGGCACTGGGTAGGGCCGGCACCGGAGCCCACGAGGCTAGGAGATTGGAAGGATGATGGCGCGGAGGTAGTCGGTGGGTTGACTGGCCTGTTGCCTGCTGCTTCGTTGCTGTGTTTGGCTGACAAGCCGGATACTCACCCTCGTTGTCAAGTGTCGTCTACTCAGAGCTGATGACTCAAATTTTTTCAGTTGGCCATAGAGAATGATGAACACAGCATGTCGTAGCACGTTCGCAGACGACCCACTGGGGGAGCTAGAATGTCAGAGCCGATGTCCGGGCCGTTAACGTGTTGTATCCCACTGCATGATTTTGGCCGGTGTGAAATGATGCTTGAGTTTTCTTCGCGGTGGGGTTGGACTTTTGGAACCCCAAGGACTAGACTTGATAGTCCAGTGTATGGGAGACTAACTCGGGGGTGGCTGCAGCTTGAAGGCCAGTCTTTCTTTTGCAAGCCATGATCTGAATTCGCTGGACTTGTAGTGGTTGACCCTCTTTCATCGCGATTCAACACTCTTTGCTCATTCGTGCTGGATTTGATTCACTCGAAGTCTGGACTGGCACTGCAGAGGAATTGGCTTGAATGAGGCGGGCTGATAGTGTGCGCGGGACTTGGCTGCAAGGCTAGAGCCAAGAGCGTACACTTTTGGGACTCTTCATGTTAGGGTGGGCTTGGCTTGGCTTGGATTCACTCAGACAGTTTTGAGATGTTATTTCGAGAAGTTAGATCTCCACTATATATATCCTCCGGATGTTGGTATGTGAACAATGTACAAGCTCAGGATCTCGACCTTCATTGCGATGTGTAAACAGATGATTCTGACTTCCATTCTGTTTTGAAACAGATGACAGGCATTGCACGTGTGTATTCGATACCTGAATGCAGGCGATCCACATATTATATGTTGATAATCATGCTGAGCCATGTACATATGGTATTTTGCCTTGGCTCCCTCTCTCTTTTCTCAAGTTGCCGCCCCGATGAAGTCTAGAAGATGAATTCGAATGTCTTCTATCATTAAGATCTCAGGATGTATCCTGTACAGTATAGCGGGGAAGTCTCAGGTGTTGCAATCCTCGACACGATCGGCGTAACTCATCATACACTATGAAGGCTGCGATCATGTGACCGTGTCTCCAATCTACGCCATGCTCCTCAAGCCCGGTTGTCTGCATGGCGTTCTGGAGTACACAGAGGGAGTAGAAACTCCGACAGTGGCAGTCGCCGTAAAGAGACAGCGCTCATGGCTCCTTCTCTCCCAAGGAGAGTGTACGACTACCTGCCCTGTTGGTGCCACCACTGATTCACCTCATGATTCCCTGCCCGTTCATTTACCCATCTCCGAACGTCAAGATTTCTCCCTTGACACTTCGACGGAAGGTGATTTAGCTTATATTCTTGCTTCAAACATCATGCAGTTCCCAATCCTCATCACGTGGGCGCTTGTCCTTCTGTCATCCCTTGGACAAGCATCGCCGACCGGCTGCGTCGACGGTCTCTGTCCCAGGACGCGGGCTGAACTGACTGCATTTCAAATCGAAACCGAGCTTGGTCCACTACTCTGCAATTCCTCCAGTGTCTTCGGACCCAACGATCCTCGCTGGCTGGGTGCGACCCTGCGATATGAGGAATACCTGCCTCCCCAGTTCACGGTCATCGCCCAAGTCGGCTGTGAGTCCGATGTCTCCACCGTGGTAGGTGACCTGCTTGGTGCGAATTGACTCTTGGCTAAGGTGAAGTAGATTCAGTATGCGAACAGAAACGGCATCCCTTTCTACACGGTCAACCGAGGCCACGGGTGGCCGATATCTCAGGGAACATTCCGAGGGCTGGGAATCGACCTACGACTGTTGCAGAACGTTACCGTAAACCACGCGAGACAGACTGCCACCGTGCAAGGCGGCACTGAGACACAAAGCCTGATCGATGCGCTCTGGAAAGAGGGTTTAGTCACCAGTAAGTGCCTGGTACTCCTTCATAATCTGGGTAGCTGACGCTGGCTCCACCCCAGCGACCAGTGTCTGCGCGTGCATCGGACATGTTGGCCCAGCCATCGGTGGAGGCCACGGAAGATACCAGGGCCAGTATGGGATGATGAGCGACAACTTTGTGACGTTGAACATTGTTCTGGCCAATGGAAGTTCCATCGTCGTTTCTAGTGATTCCCATCCGGACTTGTTCTGGTCGATGAAAGGGGCTGGTCACAACTTGGGTGTCGTGACGAGCCTCGAGATAAAGGTCTACCCACCCCCGACCAAGACCTGGTACTTTCGGAACTACTTCTACACGAAGGACAAGCTCGAAAGCCTGTTTCAAGCACTCAACAACATAATAGGTGACGGAACACAGCCGCTCGAGCTGGACTTCCATTTCGGCCATTACGAGTGGAACCCGCTTCTTAGCCTCAGCGATGTGAGTCTCCCGACCCCTGCATTGTTGCTTCTCGACTGACAGTAACGAGGCTGTGATTTGGTGGTCATTCAATTTTCTCGGCCCCGAACGTGAAGCAGAAAAATACCTGGCGCCCTTCAACAACCTCGGTCCGATTAACGTTGTCGCAGGCGCCGTGCCCTATCCCGCCATGCCGGATGCGACGCGAAATGGCAGGGTCAGTCTACCCTGTACGAAGGGACTAGCGAAAATGATGTCTACCACCGGTCTCCAGATATTCAACGTGACAGCGTGTCGTCAGGCGTATGATCTGTTCAATACGTACTTGAAGGAGTACCCGGGGCTCAAGCCTTCCATTCTTCTGTTCGAGGCGAATAACCCGGCAGCGGCCCGAGCAATTGACCCTGATAGCTCGGCATTTCCCCATCGTGACGATAATAGTCGGGTGTATGAGTTCAATCCTCCCTCTGGACTACGACTGGGAAAGTGGAGAGCTAACGCTCACGAACTAGGGTCGCGATGATAGCGTATTTGCCCGCCCTCCGTCTTGAGGAACCCGCATCGCAACTTGCCAGCGGTATACTAGACGCTATGCTAGACGGCCAGCCCGACAGAGTGCCAACGACCTATGTCAACTATGCATTTGGCCATGGGTCCCTGGAATCCGTGTACGGCTACGAGGAATGGCGGTTGAAGAAGCTACGGTCCGTCAAGTCCGAGTACGATCCTGACAACAAGTTTTCCTACTATGTGCCCATTGTTCCAGATGCGAAGGATAGTGCATGAGACTGTTGCCTTGTGTACATATTCTAGTTCAGGAGAGCCTTGGAATTTGAAAGAAGGAATCACTTCCTTGAGTCCCATCAGGAAGATATCATTTGACTCTATGCTGCTTGGCAGGGTGCATGGAGACAGGAGAGTATATAGCGGACCATTGCACTAGAAATGCTTGGTCACCTCTTTCGCTGTCATGTCTATTTGTTGAATAAGTCGATCGATATCCTCCTCGCTCAGTCGCGTAGTGATACAACACACCCTGAGGCTGACGACTCCTGACACACGAACGGAGAAAATGCCTGCCAGGTTGTCTTCGACCAGTGTGTCCGAGATCGTAGTGTTGACTCCATCTAAATCCTCTTCCGAGCACGGTCCTGGGTTATACCGAAACGTCACGATACCGCGCTTCGCGGTGGTGAGGATCTCCCATCCCTCCCGAGCTTGCAGGCGGGCTTGCACTGAGTCCGCCATGTAAATCCCATAATCAATCATCCTGCCAATCCGCTCTTCACCCAACACTCTGAGCATGAACCACAGACTCATCGCTCGAGCGGGTCTAGTCAGCTCCACGCTGAGATCCCACGGCTCAGGCTGCTCACTCAAGCCGCCCGACTGCTGATCCATCAATTCGGAGTGTACCCCGAAGGTCGAGCGGAGATGGTCCCGGTCGCGAGCCAGGAGCATCCCACAGCCGAAGGAGGAAAAGAGCCACTTGTGCGCATCCCAGGCGACGCTGTCCGCGGCGCCAAGCCCCGCCACCAGATGCGCATGGGCGTGCGACAGCGCCATTGAGGCACCGTACGCCCCGTCGACATGCAGCCACAGCGACTCTCTCCGCGCGATGTCCGCCAGATCCTCGACGGGATCCCCTGTCCCGGTCTCGGTATACCCGCAGGTCGCGACGATCATGAACGGCACCAGCCCCTGGCGTCGGTCGGCGACCAACTGCTCTTTCAGGTCCTCGACGTCGAGCTCAAAGGCCTCACTGCAGCGGACGCGATGGATCTGGCGATCCACGAACCCGAGCACGCGCGCCATCTTGGCGACGGCGTAGTGCGCCCGCTCGCTGAGGTAGATGACCCCGCGCGCCGCCTGCCTGTCGCCATCGAGCTTCTGGTCGCGCGCCACGGCAATGCTCATCAGATTCGCCACGGAGCCGCCGGACACGAACACCCCGCCCGCGGTGCGGGCCGGCAGGCCCAGGCGCGCCGCCAGCCAGCGCAGGAGCTCCTCCTCGACCACGCACGGCCCCAGCCCGACCTTCCGGCCGCCGCCGTGCGCGTTGAACGCCGCCATCAGCATGTCGCCCACCCAGCTCAGCTGGATCGTCCCGGACGGGATGAACCCGAAGAACAGCGGGTGGTTGATGCGCACCCGGTGATCGAAGATGGCGCGCGCCTCGCCGATGACCGTCTCCAGCGGCTGCGGTGGGCCCGGGCGCGCCCATCGGCGGATTCGCGTGATGTCCTGCGGCGTGCTGTGGTGCGTGAGCGGTGCGTCGCGGGCCGGGGGCGTGATGTCTAGCAGCTCGGTGAGGAGGTGCTGGATACTAGGCCAGTGCGACCGGATCTCGTGGTCGAGGGCGTGGATGCTCTCGGGTACGGGCGGAGGCGGGCTTGCGGCGGGATGCGAGGCCATTGTTTGGCGATGGAGCATTGAATATGAGCTGTAGAATTTCACAGCTGAGAGGGGTAGGTTTGGCGATGTAGATGCGTAGAGGCCTGAGTGCGGTGGCTTCGACCGGATCGGCGGGGCGAAACCACACAGGCAGAGTCAATCCGGGGAGAAGCCAGGCCCCTTCCACGGGGGAGGGGGCCGATATTCTAGACTCGCGAGTCCGTCATTGACCGTGCATGGCGGAGATGGTGGTTTGGTACCATATCAAGTTTTCTGCTCGTCGGGTCGAACTCTCTTGGTCCCGCGGAGGGGAAATCAGGGTCGTGTGTGCGGCGGACGATAAATCGGGTTTTCGGGACCACTTCGAATCGTTGGTTCATCCGTCGTCAGGGTGAGGTCAAGGGACTAGAGCAAGAATTTGCATTGGGACATGCTGCTTGGGGGTTTGGGGGGGGGGGGGGGGTATGCCTGGGAACGCTCGAAGCACCCGTGAGGGTGGAAGGCTGTCGCCGTTCGGTCCCCCCACATGCAAGGTCTTCATTCCTTCTGCTTTGTGTAGCACAGATTAGCTATCGCACAGCAGACCCTTGATGTTGACCAAAGATGAAGGGAATAACGTGAGGTCATGTATAATAAAGAGTGGTTGATGATATCGGGTAGTCGGAGACGACAGCAGAGGGATATTACATAGGAAATTGTAACGATATGCTACAACGACGACATACCTCTAGTACGAATAAGAGCAGATCGGAAGGGCAATTCAACAAGAGTGGAGTTGATAGTAGCTTTTACTACTGGTCTCTCGGCTCTCGAATACTGTTCGATCATCGAATAGATTCCACAGCAGCCACAGGAGCACCAAAAGTCCAGCGAATGGCCTATCTCGCGGCGCGAGACAGTCGCAGATACTCCGGCGACTTCACCGCCAGACAGTGATTCGAGGCAGGAGGAAGGAAGAATGTCAAAAGAGCAACGGAGTTACTGTGCGTGTCACCTCGGGGGCAGGTCGGACGCTCCTTGAACCGCATGGTTGTGAACATATTGCCGGAATATTTGCTCGCCACCATTCCATCCTCGATGGTCTAACGGTCATGATTTCCGCTTGTCACTCCCGTCCAGGAACAAGCGCGGGAGACCTGGGTTCGACTCCCAGTCGGGGAGATCTTTTTTGTTCCCGTCCCGCCTTTGTTCGTCTCGCTCTCTCCTGGTTCCCACTTCTGTATTTTCTTTGTCTCGAGCCTACCTGCTTATCGATCGGATTGCTGAACTCTCTACAATATGAGTTGTTGCCAATGGTTTCCAAAGGCTCAAGTACAATGAAGTCCGTGCATCACAATAAGGTGACTCCTTGGCTTCCAACCCTGGTCCACAACTCCAATCATCTCGGGAGGCACAATCCGGACAGTGAATAAAAAGAGATACGCGATCCTTTGTCTCTACAGCATCAAAGAGCGAACAATCCACCCGGCTTCTTTACCCGTTACCCCGGACCGATGGTTGAAGGGCAAAGTTCAGAGTATAAATTAATAGACATGCGGATCGTGAGGTCACTTCCCCGTCCCCACAAGAATCCAATCACTCCGAGCTTCGACTGGACCGCATACAGGTTGTAATGATGCCTGGCCTTGACTGTGCTCCACCTGATGCGCCTCTCGACCTTGCTGCACTTCGCGTCGCGCTCGATGTCTTCTGCAGACTCTGGACTTACCAACATTTGGAAATTCATGAGTCCTGGGTGACCCAAAGGGAGACTCCGTGGGTCCATGTGCTGGGTGGGCCCCAGCAAGATCTCACCTGTTTCCTGGAAGCCGTGTGGCAGTCAGTGGGCGGAGTGATAGAGATGGAGAAGCGCCCGGGTGATGGGAGCGCGTACGAGAAATGGGTGCAAGCGACCCGTGGGGGCCTCGAGCTGGTCTCTTACCACTGGGGTCATTACGCGCCCACCTTAGCCCGACTCCACAAGGAGGGCTGGGAGCGCGCGCGGGGCCTTTTAGATCACGATCTCTGGCTGACCTCCCCTCGGAAAGACTGGAAGTGGCGTGCCTTCGACACTATGGTCCGCTTGGACGAGAGCACCGCGGCCTTGAGTGATCCGCAGGTCGAGGCGACCATCCGCGCCTGTATTCAGAAATATGTGGGAGCCGCCGCCGTTGCTCGTATGGGCACTGATAACACGCAGCAACCGCGCCATCCCACCCCGTTCAGTCATGGCCACGAGTGCCAGGTCTGTTGCGGTCCGCTGGGAGACAAGCTCGAGGCCATCTTCTGGTGCAAGCGCCACTGCGGCTTCGCCGCCCATGTCGACTGTATTCGGGACTGGTGTCGGGGACGGGCGAACCGCGACGCCCCCTACAGAAACACCTGTCTGCAGTGTCGTCAACCATGGCTGAGTCCCTGGGGGGATTGTGTCGAGCAACCCCGGTATGGGAAGACGTGTCCCTGCCGTCGCAGATGGCTGACTGACGACCATCGTGAGGCGTTCCTTGCCGAGACTCAAGAGGCACAGCGCCGAATGTCTGAAGGCCTGCCTGAACGGCCTCGCCCGCCACTCGAGTGGCATAGTTTGTATTAGGGCTCACGGTGGGCTACTTGTGCCAATCTGGACCAATCCGAGTGAGTTTTGCCGAGAGTATGCCTTTACCAGTCATCTCTTCAAGTCTCTGGGGGGGGGGGTTTTCCGGGTTGTCAAGCTCATCGGGCCGCAGATTGGATTAGACAGTGATTGGTTTCGTTATAAGGGGGGGGGGGGACGATAAAGAAACCAATCGGTGGTTTTGCAACTTCGCACGAGTAGCTTGCTGTAGGACCGAAGGATCCTCCACGCGGCACGTAGAAAGGAGGTGACAGCATGAATCTGAGTTGCCTTACTGTCTAGGACATTCTTAGTGCAATGAGTGCCCCTAACTACATAGTTCAGTACATAGTAATTAACCGCGTGCTCCTGCCGCAGAACTGGACTGAAGGTACATCCGTCCCCGCGCTCGTGCTCAAGTGGGTGAAATACTTCCAAGTTGTTGGTTGTTCTTAACCTTGTAAGAATCTAGCAAGAATAGACCGTACTTGTACGTAGTTGTTAACTTACCAGCCGCGCTCCACCTTAGCAAGACGGGGGCTGTTTACTCCAAGTGCTATAGACTCCGCTATAGAGTCCGACAGTGCCACGCCGGCCTGACAGGCGCCTTAGCGGCCCGTCATAAACCGTCCACTTCAGTTGCATAGTTTGTATGAGCTTCCATTAGGGCTACTTAAGGATGGGCGAGGGCGAGAAGTGGGGATGAAGGGGTGAGGGGGTCCGGATTACACTCTGCTTCCAGCTCCGCTTTCAGCGGGCAGCATCGCAGCAGCACAACGATTCAAAGTTCACAATCGCATTCCATTTCTCTCAATCTTGCCAATCTGGTTATTCCATCGTAGCCAAACTCGAACCCCAAACGCCGGCAAAATCTCAGGTGCAATCTGTTACGCAATCTCGAAAGCCAAAAAAAACCAGAGGAAAGGACAGAGCACATTGAACAACAGCAAAGCAGCACCCGCACACCAACTACGCGGTATCAATGACCCGGGGAACCAATGTTGCTCTGCCCGGTAGCCGCATTGACCAGGAGAGACGCCTCAATCGCGGCGTACCTACAACCCCAAACCGACAATTAGCAGCCACTTTACTTGGGCGGAAAGAAGGAAGGAGTGTTTTGCTACTCACGCTGCTGCGAGCACAATGATTTCGGCTCGACGCGCGGGGACCATAAACCCAACCAAAGTCACAAAGCCAACGCCCATGGCTATGGCAAACCACAGGCGTCGCTTTGCCCCTTTCATGACGGACAACCCCACATCACGGAGGCGATCGCCGCGCTCGCGATAATGAGAAAAAGCATGTGTGTTGCCCGACCAATCTTGCGACGGTTTCTGTACTGCCAGTGGTATCCGTTTTCTTCGTCGTGCTTGGGCGTCTGCACTTGAGATCAGAGACGACAAGTAAAGCCAAGACCAGAGCCTGAGCCCTAGGAACAAACCAGGAAGAGAGGGAGAGAGAAAGACAGAAAAAGAAGAAGAGGAAGAAGAGGAAGAGGAAGAGGAAAGAAAGAAGAAGGGAGAAGAGGAGGAGGAGGAGGAGGAGGAGGAGGAGAGGAGAGCGCAACCTACGTCGGTCTTTCTCGGCCCAAACACTTTGTAACATAAGGGGCCGAGGTGATAGTATGACCACCGTGTCATTGGATCTGCTCCCTCGAGCGGACTGCACAGTGCCACGCGGTCGGGTACAAGGGGAGCTCGTTGCCACTGCTCGAGGGGTAGCAGGTGATGATCGACAATATCACCCGGTGTTAGTTTCTTCTCTACGGTGTTTCTGAGCATGGAAAGGTTGCGAAGGTCGGAGGCATGCGGCTCGCTCATTCTCCGCAGATCCCGGTATTGTTGCAGAGCCGTGTCTAGAAGATTGCACCGTAAATCATGAGAGAGTGCCCAAAGTGCCCAGAAAGCAGGTTCGAGACTCACTGTATTGTTTCAGGATCTTCCGAATTTTGAGGATCAGTTTCCACTGGCGGTTGTTCGCATTCAAGATCATATCCGGCACTGCATAGTCATCTTCTACCACTGCGTGACCGTGTTCAGAATCCCGATCGACAATGTTTTGCAGGGCCAGCTCGTGAGATGTCAGTTCTGCCTGCAGGTAGAGCAGATTCTTGATGTTCAGCTCGTCGAATCGTCGGAAAATCAGAGACGGGGGATCTCGAGCCATGAACATTGCCAGCTCATCATAGCCCTTCGTTTTGCGGTCGGGCAGTATGTCGTGTTGATCCGCTGCTGTTTCTTGCGCTGCCGGCCCTGTTCGGAACCCTTGACCATCCTCCAACTCGATGTCTTGATCACGGCGTACACGGAACCACCGCGCCACCACGGAGTACCAGACCATGACTAGTTGGCTGAATTCTACCAGAGTTTATAGGGAGGCGGAGAAGAAGAAGAAAAAGAAGAAGGTAGATTCCAAGTTCAAAGTGTCAATAGATTGATGTGTAATGGGAGGAGCGACAAGAAACCGTGGCCTGAGAGATGCCCTTGAGATGACAGGAAGAAAGGGCGAAACGGCCAGTCTTTATAGATGGAGCGAGAGCGTAATAGCTCAGGGAATTGCCGTCATCGTCACTTTTCAAACCACCAAATCCCGACTGTGGCACATCGTCTGTTGCTGTTCGAATTTCAAACGCAGCTGGGTCCCTGTACGCTGCGAGATTCGTGAACATCGTGAGAAGATGCTGGTGTATTGGGCAGGGATACCTGCCAACAACTCTGAAAGTACAACACCAACTCGGCTCGAATGCCGACGATCAAGATCCCTACAGCTCGTATTCTTGTACATGTGTAGGATTACTCTGGCCTGAAGTCAAGAAATGCAAGTGAGAATAAACCTTCTGACAGACGACATAGAATGTTAGCTAAGGAGGAAGAGCTTGAAGGAAGTTCACTAGTGCTAGTGTAGCAGACTTTGATTCAAGGGGGCTGTGTTCCATACAGGAATGACTCTAGTATACCGAAAGAAAGGAGAGAGAGAGAAAAAAAGCACGCGGAAGGAACGAAGCAGGAAGTGACCCGTTGACGCTTTGACAAGGATTGGGAACGGAATAATTGTTATGAGCTGGTGCATTGAGGTTTCTTGGGGCAGAATCCGCGCGGTCCATCGAAAATTGAGCCTTGGCTGCTGTCGTACGAGACGAGGGCAACCAAGCCTGAACCCTGGCGAGAATGACAGCCTGAACTGTGCCCTTGACTCGCTGCTGAAATGGTCCAACCTCGAGAAGACGTGGTCGGGGGGAGGGGGGCACTGTACCAAGCTACTCTGATCTGATATTTTCATCGATGTTGAAAGGCTCGCTATGGAACTCTGTGGCTTGGCCTCCCTGATTGGTCTGAATGGTGACTGTCATGGAACCTTGAACGAGAGGCAGTCTTGCAATAAGCTCCGAGGTACCTTGCTTCTCCACAACCGCCGATCCAAAGACCCCGAAACGGTTTTTGTCATCATGACTGTCCTGCATGCCAATAGCTGTCGCATTGGTGATGTTATGAGTGGCGTCGAGATCAGGTTGGCTCGTCACGTTGATGATAATACGAATGATGTTGACAAGCCCCGAACTACCTTTCTCTGTCTCCGCTTCCGAGCCTGGGACGTGGTGACCGTGATGACCATGCTGGCCCTGGTTGGATGAGCCTCCGCCAGCCATCTTGTCCCAGTTGTTCGAAAAGTTTTCCTCAGAACGCGTAGCCTCTGTTTCTGCTGATTGGGAATGCCCGACGCCTATCCCTTTCCCCTCTCGTACAATAACATTAGCCGATAATGCTTAGAGCACGGAGCCTCAGAGAATACGTACTCAGTTGCCCCCCGATGCTCTTCATGTTGGATTATGGGATCAAATGTTTCAAGACACACAGGAGTCTCGCGGCCGTAATGTGAGATTGGGTTTGTTGCCGCAGAAATGAGGGGTGAGGGTGAGTGTCAGTCTCGAGACTTGCAAGGTAACTAGGATACAAAACGACTTTCATGTTAGCGAGCATACTCAATTGACATGGGAATATCCGCAGGCTACTCCGAATCGTGCAAGCACAGCGTTTCGATCAGAAGCGTCAGGATGAAAGCCGCTGCCTACCAGAACTACCCGCGGTGTGAACGAAGGACGAAAAGACGACTCACGAATGTCTGCCTGGCTCTCAAGCACAGTGCACTGGAATGCGATGAGAAGTGGAATGGACATCTGGATATGAGGATGCGAACCTGCTGTGAAATATGCTATTCTCATCACTAGACAGCGCAAGTTATCGACCTCGCTCTTCTGGATGTCCAAGTCATCATCCAAGAATGAAACAGACTAGATTCTCCATTGCCTCATGTATCCAGCCCTGTCTTATCCTGTCGCTCACTCTGCGAAACTCTATACCGTGTCTTGAACTCACTCTCCAAGGGAGCGTGTTGGCCTTGGTTCAGGAGACTTCTGAGGATACAGAGTTCGAAAGCAGCACCTGCAATTGCGTGAGTCGAAAGCCATCGAGCTGGAAACAGAGCATGCTCACCTGTACTGACATCGATCGCCTGGAAGATTGCATTCAGTGCCGTAGGAATTGCTAGCCATGGTGAATAGCGACGGGGAAATCGCCAATGTGCTATCCCAAGAACCGCGCACGAAAGACAGAAGACAGGAAATGGCTTAGTCAAGTAGTGGGCCGACGACACGTAAGGTGTCGCGGTGAGGCGATAAAGCTAATAACTGACACTAGTTGTTTAGGAGCTGCTCTCGCTTGTCTTAGGACTTCGAACTCAACATAGTAGGAGCATGATGGAAAACGCATAGGGTTAAGGAGATATCGCACAGAGTACATTACAGATATTCCGGATTTTCGTTTCTCGCTTCTATCTATCATTGCTCTATACAGTACAGGCAAGTTTTCCGTCTACAGAATTATCTAGAGGATAACAAGTGAGCGGCTATCGCTGTTGCATGACGGTGGAAACCACCCCAAAGCGATTGAGAGTCCCGATCCAGAGTCCCGGGTAGATGACATTTAGCCACCGCAAAAGCCACAACGCCACGGGTTGTTCTTTCTGGACGCGATCTAGACCCCACAATAAGGTTCAGACTGTCGTTCACCTGGTTGACATCGCTTCCAGAAAGATACCACCTCTTGTGGGGCCGTTCGTTGCCTTGCCACATAGCGCCAGACGGGACTGAGAGAGGCGGGCTCGTTGTACTGCCCAGGCTGATGCCGTATCGACGGCCCCTTCAGTCGGAAGCAGGTTGAATGATCATGGCTGGCTTCTAGTGACGTCAGAGTATCAGAGTACCTATACCTCTACTGGCTGCTGAGGACGAACAAAGGAGAAAGATGACTCCGAGCATACAAAAGGTGACGCAAGAAAATCAATAACGCAAGTTCGATAGGAGCATGACAAGCACCACGCATAGAGCGGATTTTCGAATTAGGCATTCAAGGGGTTTTCGTGCTGACACCGATCTCCCCGAACTTCCAACTCTGCGATCCTACTTGCTCCATAGTGGCTGGGACGGCACGTGAGGCAATAATGTCTCAGGCAATCCGGCCGGTTGTAGGACGGGTCTCTGCAACGTACACACCAGACAGAGTTGACGGCCGAAATTGCAGGATGCTCACTCTCCATCCGTCGTGGGACAGGATCGAATCGACTCTTGCAAAATGCCGCCTGACCTCCTGATTCAGAGCGTATTCTCTCCTGGTGGGCCCAAACCTGAATGAGGGGAGGGAAGTCGAAGAAGGCCTGCCATGGATATCTCCCAGCCATCAAAATCCACGGTCAGAGGTCGGGCGCACGAACACACCAAGAATGGGAACATTCTCTGGGCAATAGAGGGGGCCAGCACTTTTGCGATCGGGGAGTGTGACTACTGCGCTGGGGTTCGGATCGCCTCTCTCTCTCTGTGTGTGTCTCTCTCCGAATGTCTCAGTTCAGCGTTTCCCTCTCGACGGGAAATGCAAGTTGACTGTGCCCATCCATCCAGACAGGCTGATCCTTGACTTGTGCACGATTCTTCACGGTCAACACACGAAGAGCGCTGGGCTGGCCATACTTCCCTTTCTGGACTGTTGACTCAAACGGAAGCCATTCTATTTCCCTGTTCATGGATGCCGTTTTGACACCTTCCAGTCCGGTTGTGGGGAGGGTAAATCAGGGGGCGTCCGTGAGCATCGACCCCAGGCGATGGCGGCAATTTTCATCAGTTAAACTGGGGAGACATGCCCGCTGGCAGAGAAAGCAGGAGACAGGTTGCTGCGAATTTGGATGGCTATCCTGGTAAGGGGGCTGGAGTACGATGAATGTCTCAAATCTGTTGAGTTGTTGTGTGGTTGTGCGCAGAGGCCGGAGACAGTGTTGGGGATTCATAGGGACAATCTACTAGTCGCTTGACCCTGGTCCAGTCCAGAATGAAATCTTGCTGCCCTCTGAGGGCAATTTCTCCCCTCCCCCCATCTCAGTCGGGGTATTCCATTCCCCCGACCAAGCGTGATCTTGCAATTGAAGGAGTTCAAGGGTGGACCGCATGCTTGCTCCAAGATCCCAGGCCATTGGGCATTGGGCCGTACTCCTCCGTAAACCGGATATTGCGCCAATGGTCATCGTCGAAGTTTTGGGGACTTGCATTACAAGCTCCAAGTTCAAGGTTCAAGGTTGAAGGTTCAAGGTTCGTCCCCTGTCATGCCAATCTCGTCACGGGACGGTGCGTAGGTGCGGCACACGCAGATCGCCGGCATCCGCACCTCATTTCCCATGCCCCCCCCCCTTCGACAATACCTTCGACAATCCCTTTGGCACCGCTCCGGGGCATTTCCCAGGCCCCTTTTCCTTCTTTCCAAAGCAGGTACTCCTTTTTCCTCCAAAGCCACGGTCGCTTCAGTTCTTTGATCTCTCTTCCAGCAATTCCTCGTGCACTTTGTTGCTTACTTACACGGGCCGTGGATGTGGCCGTGCCTACAAGCCCTACTCACTACCGAAGGCCCGTGGGCAGTAGTGAATCTCGCCAGCAATCTCCATCCTTCAACTACAGGCAAGGCAACCGTCTTCTAACCCATCCCATTCCTATCGTCCCCTCAAAGTGCTGCCTGAACACTAATGTGCCTATTGCTTGCAGAGAAGCCCGCGAAAGCCGACCGTCCCGTTCATCTTCGTCGCAGAAGGGTATCACCGCCACATCGATGCACCCAACAGACACATTACCACGCCCGTGAACCTGATCCCCTCGACGCAGTCAGCTCCCCGTCCAAGCCACCTACAAGGTTGACATCTTTTCACGGTGTTGCGGTGCATTCCCAATCCGCAAGTAGTCGATAGCAGCTGCCATACAAGACCGCTTCTTTCGATCAACTTCCCTCAGAGAAGACACACACCCACACCCACACACAGGTCTACTCCCGTTGAGCACCTGTACCCTTTCGATGTTTTTCCAACAGAGCGTCCGGAATCTGGCTCAGTGGAAGGAATCGATGAATGCGATTTTCCATCGCTTCAGTCCCAGAAAACTAATGGTCCCCAAGTGATGTTGTTGGCGGCCCTGCGGCCTCAGTAGCCAGACTGCCGCCCACCGCCCGCCCGCCCACTCCGTTATCCTTGGTGGTTCTTAGATAGCCTCACGTAGTCCGCGCGTTTATCTAAATAAATAGGTACCTAGTAGGCAGCTCTTGCCACTTTGGCCACTTTGTAGGAAGTTTCTCCTTGAGAGCCGGGAATGTCCCACACGTACATGCTCCCTGGTCTAGAGCAAGTTGACGCACCTCACCAGAGTTATTGGGCATCCATATCCAATAATTACCTAAATAGTCGCAGCGATTTACAACGTCGTGTTCAATAGACTTGAGCTAGCATCTGGGATCAAATAAATCGATTGCTATTGATGTGCTTGTATGTATACCCCGAGGTATAAGAATCTCGATTTTACTATAAGAGATCAAGGTGGTAGTATTCTGCATAGTTTTCTCAGCCTACTGCTTTGGAGTATACTAGCTATTCATCCTCACCCGTAGTGGACGAGGTCCAACCATCCGAGGTTAGTAGGGTACCTATTAAATGCTTCTACCATTCATTCCGGGTCTGAATCATCTTCCGGGTCTGAATCATCTTCTGGGTCACCCTTCCGGCATCTACACGAACGCTCGCAGGGCCGACGAAAGGTAAACCACAGAGCCCGACAGTTTGGGCAAGATGGCATTTTCCGTCTATCACCGCTGAGCACATAGCTTTTCTCAATACACAGGTTGTGAAAGGTAGTGCCACACTGTGGTTTGCACCAGACGAGCTCGCCACTCTCCGGCTCTAGCTCCTCCAAGCAAATCCCGCAAATTGAGTCCTCAGGTTGAGTCAGCTTCATTAAGGGCCGATCGAAACGATAGACCGGCGGCCGGCGCTCGTCGAGCCGAGAAACCGCCGCAGGGTCTAGATACCGATGGACTGCAGCTCGCATTGTAGAATGCGCCTCTGGACTTGTTATCACGGAGAGCATATCACGCAACCAAGGCACACACCAACCTATGGCGTAGGCTTTCCAATCCGGTCAATACCATGGCTGGCCACACCATGTCGTTTCAAGTAACACATTATGGACCCCTTCAGTCAACATCTCATGCATCATTCCCCTATAGTAGCCCCAATGATGGGAGATGCATTCGAGCTGATGCCGGTGAACACTGCCCGCTTTTGCATCCC